AGCTCCTGCTGAATTCACTGAGTGCGAGCAGGATCGCAGTAACGTCAGCTAAAGCCGAAGGCTGTGGCTGGTAGCAGGGCAAACCGATCTCCCTCGGCACACATGCAAACCGTACCTTCTCAGAGTGTTCAAACTGCCTCCAGAAGCTATCATACATTCTCTTTGTGGTCTTTTCAGGAGTGCAAACCACAGTCTTGATATAAACTTTAAAGCTGCGGTCCAACAACTGATTAATTTCACCATAGTCATAATCATCGTATCTGTTCGGAATTGAAAGAAAACCACTTTCATTTCAAGAACCAGTTATTTCACTTGCAGCGTTTCTAAGTTCCTATGGCAAAAGAAATTATCTTGTAATTTGCACCACTACTGGCCCATCCCCGTAAGTAAAAATATTATTAAGAAAACATGCATGTATTTGTAAACAACAGCTTTGCTTCAATCTGAGAAAGAAGATAAAAAACCAAACCAATGCTAACAATTCTGATGTCTACAGAACAAAAGCAGTAACACTGACCTTATTCCAAACATACAATGAATATAATTCCAAATAGCTCGTCTTAGCATTGAGGTATCCACATCTTTGTGCATGGCCATTGTGTTGTAAGTCAGATTATAAGCAATATGAAACTTCTCGTCAAGCAGCTGTCCCACATCTGGGTAAAGGCGATTCACCAAGGAATAGCCATGGTCTTCCCAGGAATAGTCCTAGGAATAAGTAAAAACGCAGAATGGAGCATTTCAGAAACGAACTTGTGAAGACCTGGTGCTTTACTGTAATTTATCTCAGGGCAGATAATCCCAGAGGCTGTGGGGCTGTTCCTTTGCTTGTTTTAAGCCTTCTCGTCCATAGGGCAGTAAATTACAGCACAGCAATTGCTAGGCTGGGGTTTGGCACTCAGACTGCACACTGAGCATCCCGATAGCAGCCCCCGTCCTGGTTACCTGAACGCGAAAGGTGGGCACGTGCATCCCGTGTCTGGAGAAGTCCTTGTACCCATAGCTGGTATCCTCAAAGTGCCGGGACACGTCTCTTGTTGCTGCCGATTCTTCATCTTCTGTTCATTTCAAACAGAATTTCACACAATTTCAGTAAGAACAAAGTCTGTGCTGTTCAAATCAGCATGCAGTTTCACTGGACTACCCATACTGAAATCCTTTGGTATAGCTCAGTGTGACCGCACCTATGGTTTATAGAGGCAAGTCTACGAAGAACACTCAGGTTATTTCCTACAAACAAGTATCTTTTTCTCCCTTCTTTTGTGTCTTCATTCTATGTCCTAAATCTAGGGGACACTTTGCTCCTAACTCAAGGGGTCTGTAAAAACGTCAAGGGAAAATCTGCTTTGGGACAGAGAGCTTACCAAAAAAGAGACCTCTAAGACTTCCATGCCCAGTTTATTTTAGAGGAAACTCTACTGAAGAGCCCACAACAACCCTAAGCTTCTACAGATTAAGTTTCACCTCACAGTTGACTGAAAAGTAGTGCTACATACGCTTAAATAGCTACGTGAGTTAAGGACATCCTTTTTTACAATGTCTTGTGAGACAAATCTCTTATGAAACTTTTAAATTTCTCAAGAGAAAGATTCCATTTCTGTTGGAAATTCCTTTTAAACATAAAATCAGTCACTGCGTCTGAAAGAAGCCACAGATCTTGGCAAAACTTTGCTTTAACTCTTCCTGGGAGAAAACAAGGCACCCCTAATCCTGATCTAAGAAAATGTAATGTTTTTGAGACATCTAACAGTACTTTTTCTCCTTCTGCAATAGTAAGTATTTCTTTAGGTGATTTGGAAAAGTCTAAGTAAATAGATATGCACACTACATCTGATCTACCTGAAGAGCACACAAACATGCTTTCTCTCTTCTCTCTCTCAAAGCGTGTGGCCATCTCTTCTTGGCTGGCTTCCTCTTCGTCTCTGCACTCCTGCAGCTGCTTCATTTTCTCCATAAGAGCTTCAACTTCACAGACAGACTCTGTTGACTTGAAAAGGAGAGAAAAACATCGCATTTCCACGTAACAAGACTCGACGGTGATGGCAGAAATCATCAAGCCGGAAAATCTAAATGCAAGCCATGTCCTTCATTTACAGCTCTAAAAACTGATTTTTTGAGGAAAACTGTTCTTGTAAGACATCTGTCCTGACCCAACAGTTCACATGTGGTCATCATATTTTCTCAATTGGATCCTTGGTATTTTTAGCATATTTTAAGAATCACAGCTTTTTGGAAAAAATGGTTCTCACACTAAAATTAAAGTTATTTTTCTTACTCAATCTAAATGTTTAACAACTGAAAAACAAGGAGTTATAACAGAAATTCTGATAGAGGAAGTAACCACAATTTACTACCCAACTGTACTTTTCCCCTTTGCTCACAGAGAAGCTAAAACATATTGAAGGAAAAAGGAAGAGTGAGCGTAAATGCAGATTTAACGAAGCCTCAAAGGAAAGCTAGTGCAAGATAATCTTATTTCACAAAAGCTGTTTTAACACCACACCACACCACTAATTCACTATCTGGTCTTGTAAAAATCCATCAGCACAAAGTAAAATAAAGTTATCTTGAATTTATACAGTTCTGCCCTTTTCCTCTGCCCTTTGCAGTCAGTTTGCTCCTTCGGAGAACCAGCAAGCTCCGTCAAACAAGATTTAAATGCCACCCACACCACTGCAGTAAAGTCTCACAAGCAAGGAACCTCCGTGGAAAATACCCCATTCGCACTGTTTTTAAACCAAGGCTTAGTTCACACCGTGGAAGCCATCGTACAGATCAGCGAGCACAGGTGCTGCTGGCAGGAAATACTGCTTTACAGTCAGTCAGAAAACTGGGGGTGATCTGTTGTGTGATGTATCACAAACACCTCAAGGCAACAAAGTCAGACTGGAATCAAAGGAAGAGCTGACTTTCCACTGCACCCATGAAAAAAACCAAACCATTTCTGACCACTGCTGCTCAGGACACGAATCATGAGCTGGCTGAGGCCAGGAGCCGTCTCAGTTTGCCCATCTGAATGACAAGACATCAAAAAAAAAAAAGACAACTGAGAGACTGTATCTTTGTCTCTCCCTTCAGTCTCCTCCCCCAGTTTACCAGTGTCAATTAAGCTTCTCCTAAATGTTACCTTTTCAACTAGTTAGCCCTCATCTGGATTAATTAACCATTCCCACTCTCACTGAAGGAAAAGAGACGGGCACCCTTCATGTATTAAGTTTACAAAGAAACTTCTACTATTGAAAGCGACTGTTCAGGCAGACACTTACTGGAATACTTCCAGTGGGGCTGGCGTGAATTTCTTCCACGCTGTGGTAACCATTCGTAATATCGCATATGCAGTAGTTACTGACGGAAGGGGGCCTGAAGGTGTGACCCCCTTCACAGTCGATCTCCGGGCTGATCCCACAACCAAACGTGAAGGACGCGAGGGAGTGGTAGTGTGTGAGGAGAACGACCGCGTGGATCAGCTCTGCCAGGGACCAGCTGTTCTCTTCAGTCTTCAGAAGTTGCTTTAAAAACAACGCAAGACAAAAGTATTCATTTTAGAAAGTCATTCAAATGGTCCCACCTTAATGCTGTTTATCAATACATTTTTTTATCTGACAAAATTATTCTCCCAATGTCCACAATTGCTTCCTAGCTCTCTGCTGCCATTAGTGTGCTCAGTGTCCTGTCAGCAGGGGACCTGCCAGCCGCAGACTCACGTGGTGAAGCCACACAGGAGGTGGCTTCTCTCCCCTCTCTGGCCCTCAGCTACTGAATCAGCTGGGGTTTCTATTTTGCACCATATGGTTTGTATTGAGGCCAGGCTGACTCGCATTGAAATTTCACACCTCTAATGAGGACACAACCACAGCAGTCTCGTGTTTCTTCAACTGGTCTTTTTGGTCTCAGAAAACCTGGCAACTCCTTGCACATCAGCTGTGTAAAAACCTGGCATCGAGGCCAGGCGTCCTCTGTCTTGTCCCTCTGGGTGGAATGCTCTACATTTGACAAGAAACTTCAAACCCAACTTCCCTTTCAGGCAGGAAAGTGGGGGAGGTTTGGGGCCTTCTGGCAGAGTGCGCAGCCCTCCCCCACAGCCCAGCGTCCTCCCTCTCCTCTCCACCTGGCAGACAGCACCAGAGTCCCAGCACTGCTTCCTCCCTGCTAAGGGTGAAGAGCAGAGGAGGAGGAGCTGCTCCAGTAACCAGGGCGGGCAAGCCCGTGCCGTGAGAGCTGCCTGACGCAGGCAGCCCTCAGAGGAGCGGGCAGCAGAAGCAGCTGCCTGGGGGCTCGTTGGTGCTGCAGCCCTGGCTGGCTCGCACCACCACCTCTCCAGTGGGCTGTCCTGCCAGCCTGCCCCCTCCAACCCGGTCTGCAAACCAGCAGCAACCAAAACAAAAACAAGGTGAGTGGTGTTCTGCCTAACCAGGGGCAGCATCTCAGCAACCCTCAGGGGGTTCTGGCTACTGAAAGCGCACAACTTAAGGACGTGCACACCTGAGCACAGCCTCATTGCACCAGAATTCTGACATGGCAACTCGGACACGTCTGAGTGTTGTAAACTACATTTGTCATTTAAGAGCAGTCATGATCACATTAGTTTTACAAGGCTGTAAGTTGTGCCATGCAGTATCCCACTGACGTATCACTGAAATCAAAGTCGGTAACACAGAGCATCTTTCATCCTGTCTGGCTCTTAACCCTAAGAATCTCTTGATTGCATTTACTGAAAAATAAGGGTACATTCGTATTACTGCATGAAAGATTTACCTCAATATGTTCCTTGGTGATAAGCCAGGGTCGGTGAGCCAACATTTTGTTCAGTTCTCCTAAATTTTGCAGTTTTTGAGGTGCGTTTTCCAGACCATTCAACCATTTCGGGTCTCCACCGACATGAAGGAAGTCGTTCACGTGGAGGTTCACAAGGTACGAGCACTGATGTCGCGCCGCAGCCTAGAAAGGAAAACACAGGTGTGATACAGAAAACAACTACAGAAAGTTAGTGCTTTATGACAAACTCCATAAATCATCATTTCTTCAATATAGTTAAGAGACTTGCAGTGATCAAAGGCTGAAGTAAAAGAAAACTGAGATTAACACATCAGCTTCCTTTGATTGTTGTTCTCACAAAATAAATATTTCCCATTCATAGTCACTAAAACTATGCTGGCTACAGTGTAACATATCCAGGGAGAAGCATAGGCATAGATCTATTTTATGTCCTCAGTAACTCCTGGCAGGGGAGAAGCCAGGCTGCCTCCAGGTGAATCTTCACCAGCTAAAACTAAAGCAGGTTTAGAATGCACATAGCAAGAGACAGGAAGGGCAGCTTTTCAGCAGTGAACAGACCCACTATCATTTGTTAAAAATAATGCTTTCCTCATCAAAGGAGGACACAGCCCAAAACTTTAATTTAGCTTCAGGAGGCAAATATCATTGCACCGCCAGACTGGCAATTATGAAATCACTACTTCTGGCAAAAAAAAACTTGCTTACAATTCAGAGGTTCAGAAATGGATGATGGGATGTACGACTGAGTTAGAGGGAGATGTATTTGACAGGACACACATAAAATCAAGCTTTCCTGAAAAACAGTTTCTGAGATACTGAGAAAACCAAAGATAAACAATAGTCTTATTTTTGTAACAGATGTCCCTCCTCTTTCTTACAGCCCTACCAAAACTATGAACATTCTGTGCTGGTCTTATAAAACGATTTGCAAACCAGTCACAAACAAACCTACTCTGCTTTTGCCCCCAGTTCCTGATGAAACGCCTTTCCAACTAGAAATTGCAAAACACAGCAATAGCTGCTGTTAAACAAGACCAGAGTCTGCTGCCAAAGCGTCTGTTTCTGCTGGCTGCTTTATTTCAGCGTACCATGATCCCGATGTAGTGCCGGTAATGAAGCGGGAGCGGACCGTCCATCTGCAGCAGATAGTGCTGAGTTTTCAGAAAGCTTTCGAGATACTGTGGGTGGAAAACCATCACCAGGGTAACGTTGTCCAAGCGGCCCAGCGCGGCAAAGGAGTCTGCAAACAGCGCGTGCATCATGGCGTCCTCGCTTCCCACCTGAACCGTCTGATTGAGCAGAAAGAGCAGTCAGCAACGGTGTCTGAGGAGCACCCATAAAACAGTACATAAATGTGTTACCACAGCACCCAGAGGCCCCAAAGGAATTAAATTATAAACCCATTAATGGTATTAAAACTGTGCACATAAGGCAAGGCACATAAAATCCCTTTAATACCTCTCATTTAGGGGATCACAAGTGGTTATAACAGCAAAAGGAGATTTTTTGCCTTTACATTTTCTCCTGTGCAACACTGACTTCTCATTTTTAACTGTCTCACCTTCACCTTCTTGAATACCCCAAACTGATCTAACTTAGCTCATTTTAACAACAACAAGGTAATTGAATAATTATTTTCATTGAGGAAAAAAGAAGGAAAGAAGTAAAAAGCTTGCCAAGATGACAAGAGAGAGAAATACAAGGAAAATGAAGCTTAAGGCTCTAAAATTCCTAGAAAACCGCAGGCACATCACTAACTTTTCCTCTGCTCCAAATGCTCTTACCAGACGATTGGGAGAGAAGGGCCAGCAATGCTCAGCTGCAGCACTTTGAAGCTTCTCAGATTATTCAGAGCAGTAGAGGCAGCTCAAGAAAAAGCAGCCCTGGAGCAGGGGGCAGGTGCCCTGTGGACCAGTAGGAAATTACATCCGGATGCTCACAAGGTAACAGACACTCTTACAGAAAACAGTGTTGGGTTTCTCTGATGCTAGAGAGCAGTTCAGGCAGGAGGGGTCATGGCCATGTCAAAGCTGCCCAGGGCTCTTGCTGCTTCTGTAGGCTACAACCGTGGCCAAAGCCTCACCAGGACTGAATGTGATCGTGACTGGAAATGTCCTGCAGCTGAGCAGCTGTCCTGAAACCGAGTGTGGGTTACTACTAAAAGGGTGTTCCTTAAAAGCATAAAGTTCACTGTGTACTTGAAAACATCACCACACCTCCTTCTCTGGGATGAATCTGCTTGGTCCGTGTCCCAGTGGTCTAGGAATTCTTACTCCAAGTTCCTAGAAAAGAGAATTACACCATCTCAGCATTTAGTTATAAACAGCTTTTTAGCTGTGGTTGCAAGAAAAGAATTCTTCATTCAAAGCTGGGCTTATTTGTGTACTTGTGGTACTCTTACACGGGTACTTTTCCTAGCGCCGTTTGTACAAATGTAAATAATTTCTTACACAAGTACTTTATAATTAGCCACGCTTGTTTACTGTGCACTGCCTCACTCCAGCAACAAAAAAATTCAACAACAAAGGCCCTACGAACCAGAGAAAACATACACAAATTTATATGCATACACACACTACAACCTGGTTCACAGAAACTCCTGCATACAGCATATTTTGGCAGGGTGTCCAGGACAAGGAGTTCTGTACATAGCCGGCTGCTGTGCGGTTATGCCACTGATACAAAAAGAGACTGATGTGTGTGTGTACATCCGCAGTACGCCAGCACATAACACTCTGTGCATCTGTCAGGAAATGAAACAGCTGTAACACTAATCAGATTTCTTTTTCCCAACCTCAAAGAGCTCTTAAACTGCTGAAAGTACCTGGTCTACATTTGCATCTGCTTTCTTTTCAAGACGGGATAAACAGCTCTTCACGTCGGGAAGGACGGAGGGAGGGGATTTTGCTCCATCAGGACAGCAGCAGCCACATCCTCACACAGCTGCTGTGGCCACGCTGCCCTGGACACCCCTCTGGCAGTCCACTGCTTGCCCTCTCCCTCAGGTACACGTACCCCCCTGCCACACCTACAACAGCACCCCGGGCCCTTTGTGCCGCCAAGGAGCAAGTCACAGAAGAGGCTGTGGTGCATTTGTGTCCAGCCCCTTAGAACTGCTCCCTTAGAACGGGTGGGGGCCATGGGCTCAGGGGCAGTTTTCTCAGAGAGGGCACAGTGTGTCCATAAGGCACAAACCGATGCGGGACACAGCCTCCCCTCGCACCTTCACACGCGCCCACCTTCCCGGCCTGGGAGCCCTGCCACCCCAAGCAGCTCTCCAGGGGGCAGCTGGTGGCACGGTGCTCTTACAGATGGAGAGAGACCTGGGATTAAAGCTGGAGATGGAGTCGAGTGCTAAATGCTAGGCAATACATAAACCAATGGTTTGGGATTTTATCTGTTCTTAAAATGTATCCATTGCCTTCGTTCCATAGCCCAGACCACTTTTTTTCTGATGATACCAACCCCATCCCGGTTCCCAGCTGGGTTTAGATAAATAACTAAACACTGCACACTGAGCCAGTTCAGGCTAGACAGAGCAGAGAGGCACCTTCAGCTGTCTTAGGAGCAAGTGGAGCCCCTAAAAGCTGGTTGCCAAATTCAGTTTTAGAATTTATTACATTTTCCCCACATAGATAAAGGTTGTTATGAACAAGCAATGCTGGTCTCACTCACTGCTGCACTTTTTCTGTCTTTAGCTGAGGTTTCTATTTGCACAAGTTCATTGCACGAGAAGCAATTTTATTAATCAGTTACCGTGCCCTGAACTTTCCCCTGAGATTAAAACCCAGCTGTTGAGAGCTGAAACAAGCAGCGCAGCTCTAAGTCACAGCTACCAAAGCCCAGCAGGCTCTGATGGTCTCCTGAAACCCAAAGTCAGATGCCTTCATTTCTCAAGTCTTATTTGGATAAAGTGAGATCAAATGGCAGCTCTTGCATGACTCTTTTCCCATTTTCCCTGCGACAGTAAAGTTTTGGATTCCTGCTGAGGGTCCCAACATTCAGTAACAAATTGTGCTGTCAGCTAAGTCTCTAGCAATGCCACTTGCAGGATGGAATTTGTCTCTTAAAAACACCCTCTTCTCCTCAAAGCTGCAGCACAGCTCCTTATCTTGGCTACAACTACCCCAACAAATCAGAGAAACACCTTACATCCCAATGACAGCAAGAAAAAAGAGCCTGTACACATCATTTAACTTAGCAGATGTCTGCAGTCGTCCGCCAGCTGAAGCACTCCAAAAGAAACACCTTGAAGTTTAATTCTTGAACAACCACGTTTCAGTCTTCCCCTTTCCCAGAACAGTTACAGGAAGAAAAAAACCCCCAGTATTTCTGAACTGCAAGCTGCTAACATAGTTTGCTTTACACTCTAAAATACAGCACTATCAATACACTTTGCAGGTTTATTTTAAAGCATGCACAGGCCAAACTACGACAATTACGCTGCATCTAAAAGGTTACAGTATTTCAGTAAAAGCCAAACTGTCTCTGCAATGTGGGTTTTTTTGGGAACTGAAGAAGTTGCTTTGTTTTCCCTCAGAACAGAAAGCATCCCCTGAAGCCACGGCACCAGCCTGGTTCAAGTCTCTGTTCTGACAGAGACATTGTGAAGGTTTTGTGAAGATGAGCCTGTTTCCCACCTGCAAAATGGGGGTAAATACGTTTCTTCCAGAGGGTACTGAGAGCAGAAATAAGCTTCTTGTCATAAGGTGCATGGTTAACAGAGCCATGAGAGTTGGACCCCTTAGAAATCTTCTGAAAATTGTTATTCTTCAGTTACAAGCTATGGCAGACCTTTCAAAAACTGCTTTCCCCTCTTTTTTCCCAGAAGCAGCATTTAATCAAGTTCTCCTGGTACTGGAGAGACAGCAGCATTGTTCCTCAAAAAATTGCTTCCTCCTTGAGAAATTGCAGCAGTGCTCCCAGTTTCCCAGCATTTCAAATACTGTATGGACAACATGGTAACAGTTCTCAAAACAGTCCCAGAGCATCTTCCCTTTGTTTAGGACACATTTCTATGCTCCATGATGCCCCTTCACTGAGCCTCCATCTTCCAAATACACTCAACTCAAGGAGCACTGTCTTCCAGCTTTCCCTCTCAAAGCCAGGACCTGCATCCTGACCCCCCACACCACCACCACGTCTCTCTCCTGCACCTTCCTTTAAAGCACCGCCTCACCTGGAGCACCGGCAAGCACTTGGCAGAGCAGCCAGCGCTAGGATGAGCAGCAGTCGCAAGCAAACACTATTTATTTTGGTTATTACAAAAGCATACGCAACTTCCATGTGATTCCAGACCACCGAGTTGCACAGCAGAGTGACCTACTCAGTGCCGTGTTTTCTGCACCAAACCTCTCCTGGCTCCTGTCCTCCTGCTTGTTAACCTTGCACCACTTCATTCAGTCTGGAACTGCAGCTGGACACAGCTCCAAGCTCAGCAGAAAGCCAACCACAACTGAGGCTCTAGGTGCAAATAATAACAATAATAATAATAATAATAATAATAATAATAATAATGCAGAGGCACTCCATCTTCAAAGCCAGAACATAAAACTCGGGTGGCCTCAAACCAGAGCAGCGAGGGTGGAACAGATTTCACCTTCAGCATTCAGAAGCTCACAGCTAAAGGAGGGAGGGGGGCCTCGCCAGGGCAACCCACTCTTCTGCTCACCCTCCAGACCGACCCTGACAGAGAAGCAAGACCTTAGACTTTTAAAAGCAAGACTCGTATTTCTGTACAGCCACTATTATTATTTTCATGGGAACTATGTTCACCAGATACTTACCATTTCCGAATCTACGTGTCCCTCATCACTGCGATATCTGAGCATCTCATCTGATGTATTTAATTCACGCAACAAAGACTGGCAGCTGAAGCTGAGATCGGTGAAGTCCCGGGTAATGCCTTACCCATCAGACTGAGCCTTTTCAGAGCCTTCTCAACCAGGAAATATGTCTTATGCAAATTCAGCTCTGCAGAGCTGAGACAGAAGAGGTAATGAGACAAGTCTGCAAACTTAATTATGCACTTCCCAGCTACCACTCTCTCTCACCAGTCTGGCTCATTGGTACATCCAACTCCACAATGCCAAGCAGATCAAAAATCTGTACTGCATGTACATATACGCAGAGAGAAGACCACTCTAAAACTGCAGGCACATATAAACTCATTCTATCTATGGCTTTTCTGTATCTTAAGACTCTGTCAGTCAAGCCCACTGTTAGGTACTTTTTTAAGTGTCTTGTCAAGAACAGCATTCCTATCAAATTTAAGTAACAGCCTGAGATGGAAAATTGAACTGTAAATGCTTAGATGAGGTTTTTTAATAACTAAAGTACAAAGTGCATCACCTCGTTATCAGAGCATCATCTCCTTTGGTTCTGAATCTCTTTAAAATAAAAGTGAAGAAAAAAAAGTGTCACTCCTAAACAGCCACCCAATCCGAAATTCCACCCAGAAACACTGCAGTGAAGTTACAAGCTGCGACTCAGGGCCTCTCTCTAGAACAGGACCCCAACCTTGGCTGAGGAAGCCAACCTGAGCTGCAGCTCCTGCTCCACGGGGAGCCCAAAATGCCTTTTCAGATCCCTGCTCCACCCCCACTGCTGACTCCAGGCAGCTGGCGCTCTGCCTCTTATCCCAGAACCTCTCCCCAGACTCAGTTATGGTTTCGTCAGATAAGCATGGGGACTGCTACCAGACTGTCAATTTTCGGTCATTCAGGATTCACGAGCTGAGCACAATGAACCACAACCTCCAGACTGCTGCCCTGCTGCTAGCACAGCAAGTCATTTTGCTCCCCTCAAGTACAGTCAGTACCAGTATCAAATGTTCTATCTCCCAGAGATACTGAAGTACTCACTTGCTCAAGCCTCCTCTAAATGGCAAACAGAACATTTTATCACAGACAAGGCACCAGCAAAGTGAAAATACAATTATTGATTTACATCACTAAACCACATTTAGATTAACACTTTCATCTGAACCATCTGTGTCCTGATTAAGCACTAAATACTGCTAGATTCAAACAAAATTATGAGAATCACACACTGTAATGCAAAATAAAACAATGTAAAGGAAGGAACCAGAGAAGGGAAATGAGTTTGAGGTGACCTTTTTTGGAAGTAACATTTTCCTAGACAACCAGTAACCATTTTACATAATTTAAGTGCATTCGTACCCAGTCTTAGGGTTGAGAAAGGCACGACGAGCTGTGGGTTAAAATCTTCAACACAATCTCCTAGAACTAACCACCCCAACGTGCCAGTGCTGAAAAT